TCACTCTTGCAAGAATACCTAGGAAAAGTCCAGTTTTTATTTTATTTTCAATACCAGTACAATAATGTAACTTGCGTTCAAGCAGCAGCAAATTACATTGCCATTGCAAAGCATACAGTGTCTGCAAATGTAATCACAAAGTCCAACACGAAATCAAAAGACGCATTTTTGTAAAAAAAAAAACATCTTCAAGTGCAATTTGTCACATTCTTTCAACATCACTGTCATCGGGTAAATGTGAAGGCAAGGATGGTTTGTAAAACGTGTAAACCCCGCCGGGTTCCGAGGTGATCGGTCATAGCAAGTGGGCTCGTGAACCTGTCCGTGTGAACGCTGTTGGGAGCGCTCTCCAAAACACTTTTTTACGTGTGGCGACTTTTCTCTGGGTGCTGCAGGTTTGCTCCCCGCGTGCTAAAGGATTTTGGGCCAGACAACACGCATCACACGGGGCGCGCCCCCGTTAGACGCCGGGCATGTCGGCCTCGGCGAGAATTTCTGATCGATAAGTAAATGGGCATTGAAAGAGGTCGCGTAGTAAAAAAAAACCAAGGGCCCGTGTTGGCGGTGCTGCACACACACGAAGTATTCACAAGAGATGTGTTTTTTGGGGGGGGGAGGAGGTTAGATCGCGTTAATATAAATGCGATATCAACCCGCGGGTTTAACGACGCCTTTTACATTGACGCCACTTAACCCAAATAAAACCCTCCACGGTAGATAATGCATTGGTCGCAAAAGCCTACGCGTTAAACAAAAGTACCTTTGCCATGAGCACCGCTCGATCGTAGAAATATATGGAGGTGGAAAAGTGGCTCAGAGGTCAGAGCGCTGAAGCTGGCACCGCTGTGAACCTGGGTTTCAGCCGCCCGTAATTAAACCGGGGTATCTCGAGTGCACAGGAGTCGAATGGTCCCAGTCGAGTCACCAATGACTGCACGAAAAAATTGTACCTAAAATTTGGTATGTCGCTGAATTTGGCAAAAAAAATAATGTTTTGATCGATCGCTCGGTGCCCGAACGCCGAGCCCCGCCTGTCCAGCTCAAGGCTGAGCGACGGAATCGGTGATCGAACTTTTACGCCGCGGTGGTTGGAGGAAATTGAGAAATATATAGTCTTGGTTCTTTCGGTAAAGTCACGTAGGTTGAATTGTAAAAATGAAAAATAAATACAAAGTAAAAGTTAAGAAACCCCCAACGTTTCGATCGCAACGTTTTTGCTTTTATTTTAAATTTATTTACAATTTTATTTTTTATTTTCTATCTACAGTGACTTTACCGAAAGAACCAAGAATATTAATTCCAGCAGTCACGAAAGTTTTAAGTCAAAATCGAGAAATGTTAAGGTCATCATTAGACCTCCTTTGCCAGTACCAAAATGTAATAATAGGGTTTTCCCCTTTTTTCTGGCAGCAAAACTGAAACCTTTTTACAAGGATTCATGTCTGCATTAACCACAATACCTGCAGTCAAAATGCAAACAAAAAACACACTATGATAATATATGCATTGTCCTTGAAACTGATTGGTCCAATCAATGCATATATTATCATACTATGTTTTTTGTTTGCATTTTGACTGCAGGTATTGTGGTTAATGCAGACATGAATCCTTGTAAAAAAAGGTTTCAGTTTTGTTGTCAGAAAAAAGGGGAAAAACCCTATTATTAAATGTTAAGGTCATTGATGCAGGCAGGATTTTTTTTTTGGGTTTCACAAATGGTGGCGATTGTTTTATCGCGTGCTGTGTGACAGAGGATTTACACAATGTAATCTCTTATTATTTTTTAAGCGTCGACAGTTAACTCCCGATTATCTGTCGGATGATTGTACACGGATTTGGGGAGAAAAAAATATCTTTAGAACCCACGCTCGTTTACTAACTATTGTGTGCTCCTCTCTCGAAGTAAATCGACTAACAAACAATAAAAACACGCCACATTCTACGTGCTATGCCTCGTCTATTTTTGTTTTTATCCAGGCCACCCCTCGCCTCATTAACACCCAAGATAATCGACAGCCGACCGCACTTGTTCGTCCGATGTTCCTTGATGTGCACAGATTCCGAAAGGAAATGAATCACACCTCGGTCTTCTTACCCGCTGGAGTTCATTGGCATCTCACCACGACGAGCGAGTGTCCACGTTTGTGTAATACGTACATTCAAACACTTCCAAGAAAATTCGTGCAAAGGGAGCAATGTCTTTTCTTCGACAAATATTGAACAAAACATCGGTCGAGTTCACCTGAAATGATTTTTGCATAGCAGAGTTACAAGCGCGAAAAAAATTAAGGCACTCGTGCGACAAGGTAGCAGCGCATGGATGGAAACGTCGGACATCGTGCCGAACAACCCAAAACAGACGCGGAAAAGCCACAGATGGGTTTTGCGTTTTGTAAAATCACAACATCGTGTTGCGTGGCAGTGTTCTTCACTAATTTTCAGAGCGGGGGGCCACTTCCACCGATGAGACATCATCAGTGTGAGAGAGCCGCCACGCGTTTCACGCCATTGGGGGATTGACAGCAGCGCGATGATGACGATGCGGGGCGTTGTCACGTGTTGTGTGTTATTGGGGGCCCACACCTCGAGGGTCGTGCTAAAGGCCCACAGGGGGCCGCCAGTAGCCCCTGTGGGCCTTGCAATGAACAACACTGGATTAACTGGTGTACTCATTTACACAGTGGTGGGAGGGGGGGGTTAATAAACTTGCCTTTTAACTGTGGGAGATTGAACCAGAAACATCTGGATTGCAAGAGGTGTGCTAACCATTACGCCATGGCTACGTCCTCCAGATATTTAATGAACCGATACAAATTTTACATTTCGATTGAAAGCTTTCGTGACTGCAAGGATTGATCTCCTTTGGTACCTTCGGTAAAGTCACCACGTAGAATGAGAATAAAGCTTCATTGAAGCTCTGTCGTCCCGACAGGTCTGTTCCTTTCACCTGAAGAAGGCCACGTGTGTTGTGGCCGAAACGTCGTGAGAATTTTATTGCGCTATTTTATTTCATTATTTTATTATTTTATTCTCATTCTACGTGGTGACTTTACCGAAAGAACCAAAGAAGATGAACCGATACATACTTGTAAATATTAATTCGTGGGAACGTCACGATATCTTTGACCGATTTAAAAAAAGTCTCCATCTCCGTCTGTACACAATGTAGAAACAGAGCCAATATATCCCGGCAAAAGTATTCGTCACCGTCATTTAATCATTTGCGAACAATATTCTGTGCAGCAGACTTGGGTTCAAATGCAATTGCATTACGATTCATTAACAAATTATTTAACTGCACTTGATGCCAGGTTTGATGTACAGTAACGAACGTTACAAGCCACGACTCCCGTTTGTTTGGAGCAATCGAAAAAACAAAGACATCATTGGAAAGCTTTCCATCAACCATTTACAAAGCTGGAACCATGTAGAATATTCATGAACTTTTTATGGAAATATTTTCTGTGTTTTTTTTGTTTACACGGTTGGAAAAGGGCTTTCCATGAGAAAGCGATGCCTTGTAACATTGAACTTGACCCCTCGGACACTCGAAAAAGGTCAAACCGTCAAGGATCCAATTTGGAATTTTACCACGTCTCTTTTCGTACCTACAACTCTCATATTTCCTCAAGATTGGAAGTTTTTCGAACAGATTCAGATTTTAGTTTTTACTGATCTGAAATTGACCCGTTTAAAATCGGTGTTGATGCAGCGTTCACATCCATACAAAAATATAAAGGCATCAAATATAACAGTGTCATTACTAACATATAAGGCATGTTGTATTATCGTGTGTTGTGCAGCTTATTTGTGCTATTCATCTCACAATTAAGCGAGTAATTCATTACATAAACCTGGAAAAGTAATATCAATACATTACAACGGTCTGGGTAATTATAGTCCGTTATAAACACTATGTGTAGATTATTACACGTAGTTCCTAAGTTTTATTCTGATCATAATTTCTCGTGAGAAAATGAATTAGACAAACCCATAAGAGTAAGCTCAACATCGTAATCCATCATAACCGTGCCTTATAATCAGTTAAGTGCTTGACAATTTTTTCCAGGTCATAACTCAACTTCCTTGCGAGTACTGAATGACATGTAAGTTAATCAAATTAATGTACAGAGAAAGAAATTAGAATCCGTTACATTTACAATCTGTTTAAGCTCGCATACTAATTTACCGTAAAAAAAAACTTTTTTTCACTCTTTGAGAAATATCTTTCTTGGTTATTTTTCAAGTATCTCATTTAAGTTACAAAAAATATTCATGTAATAAGGCAACACAAACACGTATGAACAATTAACATTTCGAAATGGTTGTTGAGTGTTGAGTCGTTGCAATAAATTCCAGTCGTAAATTCATAACCAAACGACTAATCGTAACGTGATAATAATTTCCAGCCCCTTGTCAACCCCTTTGCTGGATGACGGCCTGCCCGCCCCTTGTCGGTCAATGGAGTTGTTTGACCATATTACCCCATGCCGAGCCAGTGTGGGTTAGTGAGAGTGGAGGATCCCAGGACTGGTTCAGATATCGCTCACCCACTGATGTTAGTTGTGGCTGGCAATGGAACTCAGGGGAGGCCTAAGCACGTAAAAGTACGTAACATCCCACAGGCAGCAACTGAAGCAATTGGCGGGACCCTGGGGTTACCATCACTGCCCCCCGGGGTGGGAAAAACCGTGTAGCGACATGAGTCTCGTTGCCTTACCGACAATAAAGCTCTAGTGGTCAATTGATTGGCCTCGTCGAGAGCTACTCGGGACACTAAGTTTCGTAAAAAGTTGAAAAATTACACAAACACGTTAAATTCACTGCGGGGGCAGGCGGGCTCGCCTAGGCAAAGAAGCTGAGGATCGACGGCTGACCGGAGGGCGTCGTCGCTGCTCGCGACTGCGGCGGACGCCCCCCGGGGCTTGCGTTTGGCCGGTGGGGGTGGCGCCCATCGTGTCGATCGCCGCCTGCTGCCGGCGCTTGTTGGCACGGCGAGTCTGGGCGGGCGGCGCGTTGCTGTCGGGGTCACGAGCGGGGCGGACTGAAGAAAAATAATAATTATTGACCCGATTGCTGCGGGACCCCGGGGTCCCGCCAAATGATTCAATTGTCGTAGCGTCCCAAACGGCGTATGTCAAAACGTCAAGTGTTCTCTGCACATCCCGGCGGGATCGCACCACTGCACGTACGGCAGTGGTTGAGAGCGATTTCGTCATCCCAACAGCATCAGCCAACCGGCTGCGAGCGTGACTGCAGCTTGCCGTGTTGGCGCCCGCGGTTCCAAGGAAGAGAGAGCGAAGCTTTGCGCGGGTGAGGAGGTGGGACAGCCCTGTTTGTCACGCAACTTGTAAAATTGCATTAGTCCGTCATGTGCCCAGATTGCAGGTCGCCAAATTCATAGTGCAGTGCGGTGACCACGCTAACCGCAACTCGAGTTCTCTTCATTTCTCAACAGAAATCCGGCAAAAAGCTTCCGTAAGCTCTACGACTTCCTGACGAAGTACGCCACCTCGTCCAGCGCCACCTCGAAATTCCGGAGCCACTTTTGTCCGGGATGGCACCTCCCACCGCCGCTCGCGACGCCGCCCGCGCCGCCGCCCCCGCCCATGCGGGCACACCAGGTCCCGGCGGGGAGATAGACGTCCCTGGCCCGGGCGCCGGCCTCCAGCACGGGCGCCACCAGCATCGCGTCGCCCAGCAGGAACTCGGAGTCGAGACGGAGAGCCGTGCGGTCGCGCGGAGCCGCCCACCACACGGGGCGCGCTATCATCGGCGTCGGCGGAGAGAACGACGTCGGCGACGATTTGGACGACGAGGTGGTGCCTCTGCCGCCGATGTCGTTGCTGTTGTTGGAGGAAGAGGTGGCGGCGCCCCCGGCTTGCGCGGCCGCCCGTGCCACGGCCATCACGATGGGCGCCACCACCTCCTCACGCAGCGCCGTGAACTTGCGCGCGATTGCGACCACCTCCTCGTCGTAGAGCCACGGAGGCACCGAGAACTGCATGGCCGGCATGAAGGCACTGAGCTCCAACCAGCGGATGTACAGCTCCCGTTCCGGTATCGCGACGCCGTCAGAATCTCCGTCCGCCTCCCCCCCTGGCTCCGCCGCTCGCACGCCGGCGCGGGAAGCGGGAGCCGCGCCGGCGGCCCCGTAGGCGTTCCCGCCGATCGTGTCCGGCAGCACGTACGGATAGCCCAGCAGCCCGAAAGCGAGCGCCGTCGGGATGAGCGAGCGGAGCCCCAGCTCGTGACCCCACACCGAGGCCCGGTCGGCCATACGCACGAACGCGGCGAGGCCGTGCGTGCGGAACGCCACCCGCACCTCGGCCAGCGGGCCGAAGTGGCGCGCCAGCGTGGCGTAGCGTGCCGAGAACCACGCCGGGTTGGCGAGCCCGGCGTGCGTGCGGGCGCAGTCGCGCGGGAGGTAACTCACCTCGCCGCCGTCGAACTTGAACGAGTCGAAGCCCAGGGCGACGGCCAGGCGCCCGCGCAGCGTGCGGTTCACGAACGCGTCGACCGCCGCCGGGTTGGTGACGTCGAGGACCGTCGCGACGCCCCGCCACCACCGCACCAGCGCCGGCGTCGAGCCGCCGCCGGCGCCGCCGCCGGCGTTGGACGCCGCCGTCCGAACGAACAGCCCCTTCGCAACGCCGGCGCGGAAGGCTTCGGCGTCGTAGTTGACGAACGGGTGCACCCAGAGCACGAGGCGGAAGCCGAGGCGCGAGCGCAGGTCCCGCACCATCGCCGCGGGGTCCGGGAACTTGCGGCCGTCGAAGGCGTAGTCGCCGTACCGCCCCGCCGCCTCGTAGCCGTCGTCCACCTGCAGGTGGCTGTGGTTGAATCCGTGTTGGACCACCGCCTCGGCGAGCGCCACCACCTTGGCCTGGCTGAGCCGCCGCTTGTGCAGCGCCCACGTGGACCACACGGGGCAGCGCACCATCCGCTCGTCCGGCGGCGCCGACGGCGCCCCCAGGTGGCGCGACGACGCCAGGGCGTGGGCCGCCCGCGCGTCGCCGGCAACGCACAGCTCGTAGGAAAGGAAAGCGCGCGAGGCGTTGCTCGGGGCGCAGTACGGCCCGTCGGGGCCGTACTGCGCCCGCAGGCACAGCACCTTCTCTTCGCCGGCGCCGGCGCCAACCGTGGACCAGCTCACGTAGAGGGGGACGTCGTCCGCCACGAAGATGTAGGCGCCGCGAGACGAGAGCCAGTAGCGCTCCATGACCGCCCCGAAGCGGTCGCGGAAGGAGTAGATGTCCTCGGGGACGTAGGCCACCGGCTCGCGCCCGGTGCTGCCGAACTCCAGCGGCCAGCGCTGCACCCTCATCTGGGCGCCGCCGTACCAGAGCGCGTCGCCCAACACCACGCAGTCCTCCAGAGCTACGCCGGGCCGCGAGGCCGTCCACGTTACGCCGTAGCACTCCGCCGGCGGCCTCGAGGCGTCGCCGGCGTTGCCGGGGGCGGCGGCGGCGGCCGAAGCGGCGGCGGCGGCGGCACCGATGTCGATCTTCTTGACCGAGACCTTTGCGTCGGCGCTCTCGCCGTGAACGCACTCGCCGTCGTCCACCGGCCAGCTGTTGTCGTAGCTGTAACTGCCGTCGTCGCCTTTGTCCCCGCCGTCGTCGTCGGCGTCGTCGGCGGGGGTGCGGCGATTGCTGCCGCGCACGCACCCCGAACCCAGCGTGCCCAGAGTCACCCGCGCCTGCTGCTTCCCAAAGGCGACTCTCAACGCCGGTTTCGAGTCGCCGGCGCCGGCGCCGCGCAACGTCAGGCCCCCCGTGGACAGCACGAGCCGCCCCACGGCGCGCTCCCCGGCGGCACGCACCGACGCCGCGTACGTCGCCCACGTCGCCACCGCCGCCGCCACCAGCGCCACCGCCCCCAGCGCTAGCGCCACGCGCACGCGAGGCTGCCGGGACGGCGGGCGTCGCCGGCAGAGGCCGGAAACCGTTGGTGGCCCGGCGCCGCCGGGAACAACGTGATACATTGCTCCGCCGGAGCTCAAGGCGGCGCTGCCGCCGCCGCCGCCGCCGCCGCCGCCGCCCTGGGACATGGCTTCAGCTGCTGGATTGTCAGATCGTGGTGCCAGGCTAGCGCCGTGCGTGTGGAGGCGACGGGGATTGGGCAGCGAGGGGCAGGTCACGGGCGCCGACAAGGGGTGGGCATGACTGGAGTGGGCGAGGAGCCAGGGAGCCTAGGAGGAGGAGAGCGAGGTTTGGTCAGGTGTTGGTGGGTGCATGTGATAAAATAAAAAAAAATACCTACTTGGATATTGAATTGCGACCCTCAAATCGCTAAAAAATGTATCGAATCGCAAGACGTGCACTGTGGGTTATGTGGACGTGTCAGGTGTGGTAACAGGAGCACAAGGGCCTGATCTATAAGTCGGTGGAGAGGCATATTTCACTGGATTTGGTGGACGCATGGCCAAATCAATAATTTTCCATCCAATTGGAAGCAGCGTGTTATTCCACAAACTGAAAGCGTCTCCATACTCAGACGAGCAGGATGGGGTGGGGGGTAAAAATTAAACATTCCCATGGACAAAAAACTATTTTTTATTGAGATAACAAAAGAGAAACATTTTGGAAATCTCAATTTAATGTCGTTTTTTTATATATAAACCACAAGCTCTACGAATTGATGTCACATCGGAGGTTTGTGAAGGATGCCACCAAGGCCTGGGGTAGGCTTCGTCCAACAGTGGATTGAACATGGCTGATGATGGTAAGAGAAGCCATACAAATAAAGTGCCGGCGATTGTGAATTGTAAAAATAAGCCCTAGCTTACCTGTGCTGCGTCTGCGCGTGATGGGGGGCACGTTCAGGTGTATGGCTGGCCAGGAGAGGTGGGTGGTAGTTAAGCGGTGGTTAAGTCTTGAGACCGGACGAGAGTGGCGTTGTGCTCAGAAGTCTCTTTTTTTCCGAAGGAAAGATCTGAAACGCAAGGCGGGGGGAGGGGGGGGGTCACAACACGTGCGTGAGAACAGGTCACACACGGTTAAAACATTGAGCCCATCGGACCACGAATTATCCACTGCTCGATCAATTCTGTCTACCTGTTAAGAGCGCAGACACTCCCATCATCAAGGCAACTGCCGGAGAACACGAAAACAAAGGTCAGCGCCCGGCACCAGTACACATGTAGTCGCTACTACACAATGTCTATTACACGTGTAGTAGTAGCTACTACATGTGTAGCTACTACACAACTACTACACGTGTAGTAGTAGCTACCACATGTAGTAGTAGTAGTAGTAGCTACTACTACACGTGTAGTAGTTGCTACTACACGAGTAGTAGTTGCTACTAGTACTACACGTGTAGTAGTTGCTACTAGTACTACACGTGTAGTAGTTGCTACTGCTACTACTACTACACGTGTAGTAGTTGCTACTGCTACTAGTACTACACGTGTAGTAGTTGCTACTGCTACTACTACACGTGTAGTAGTTGCTACTGCTACTACTACACGTGTAGTAGTTGCTACTGCTACTACTACACGTGTAGTAGTTGCTACTGCTACTACTACTACACGTGTAGTAGTTGCTACTGCTACTACTACTACACGTGTAGTAGTTGCTACTGCTACTACTACTACACGTGTAGTAGTTGCTACTAGTACTACTACTACACGTGTAGTAGTTGCTACTAGTACTACTACTACACGTGTAGTAGTTGCTACTAGTACTACTACACGTGTAGTAGTTGTTACTAGTACTACACGTGTAGTAGTTGCTACTAGTACTACTACACGTGTAGTAGTTGCTACTAGTACTACTACACGTGTAGTAGTTGCTACTACTACTACACGTGTAGTAGTAGTTGCTACTACTACTACACGTGTAGTAGTAGTTGCTACTACTACTACACGTGTAGTAGTTGCTACTAGTACTACTACACGTGTAGTAGTTGCTACTAGTACTACTACACGTGTAGTAGTTGCTACTACTACTACTACACGTGTAGTAGTTGCTACTAGTACTACTACACGTGTAGTAGTTGCTACTACTACTACTACACGTGTAGTAGTTGCTACTACTACTACACGTGTAGTAGTTGCTACTACTACTACACGTGTAGTAGTTGCTACTACTACTACACGTGTAGTAGTTGCTACTACTACTACACGTGTAGTAGTTGCTACTACTACTACACGTGTAGTAGTTGCTACTACTACTACACGTGTAGTAGTTGCTACTACTACTACACGTGTAGTAGTTGCTACTACTACTACACGTGTAGTAGTTGCTACTAGTACTACTACACGTGTAGTAGTTGCTACTAGTACTACACGTGTAGTAGTTGCTACTAGTACTACACGTGTAGTAGTTGCTACTAGTACTACTACACGTGTAGTAGTTGCTACTACTACTACACGTGTAGTAGTTGCTACTAGTACTACACGTGTAGTAGTTGCTACTACTACTACACGTGTAGTAGTTGCTACTAATACTACTACACGTGTAGTAGTTGCTACTACTACTACACGTGTAGTAGTTGCTACTAGTACTACACGTGTAGTAGTTGCTACTAGTACTACACGTGTAGTAGTTGCTACTACTACTACACGTGTAGTAGTTGCTACTAGTACTACTACACGTGTAGTAGTTGCTACTACTACTACACGTGTAGTAGTTGCTACTACTACTACACGTGTAGTAGTTGCTACTACTACACGTGTAGTAGTTGCTACTAGTACTACTACACGTGTAGTAGTTGCTACTAGTACTACTACACGTGTAGTAGTTGCTACTAGTACTACTACACGTGTAGTAGTTGCTACTAGTACTACTACACGTGTAGTAGTTGCTACTAGTACTACTACACGTGTAGTAGTTGCTACTAGTACTACTACACGTGTAGTAGTTGCTACTACTACTACACGTGTAGTAGTTGCTACTACTACTACACGTGTAGTAGTTGCTACTACTACTACACGTGTAGTAGTTGCTACTACTAGTAGCAACTACTACACGTGTAGTAGTTGCTACTACTACTACACGTGTAGTAGTTGCTACTAGTACTACACGTGTAGTAGTTGCTACTACTACTACTACACGTGTAGTAGTTGCTACTAGTACTACTACACGTATAGTAGTTGCTACTAGTACTACACGTGTAGTAGTTGCTACTAGTACTACACGTGTAGTAGTTGCTACTACTACTACACGTGTAGTAGTAGTTGCTACTAGTACTACTACACGTGTAGTAGTTGCTACTAGTACTACTACACGTGTAGTAGTTGCTACTAGTACTACACGTGTAGTAGTTGCTACTACTACTACACGTGTAGTAGTTGCTACTAGTACTAGTACTACACGTGGTTTAATTTTTGGCCAGGTGGCTTCTGAAGGAGCTGGTAGAACATCACGGCGGGAGGAAGTGGCCGCAGGGACGAGGCCTGTACCCAGCAGGGACGAGGCCTGTACCCAGCAGGGACGAGGCCTGTACCCAGCAGGGACGAGGCCTGTACCCAGCAGGGACGAGGCCTGTACCCAGCAGGGACGAGGCCTGTACCCAGCAGGGACGAGGCCTGTACCCAGCAGGGACGAGGCCTGTACCCAGCAGGGACGAGGCCTGTACCCAGCAGGGAGGAGGCCTGTATCCAGCAGGGTAGGTGGGGGCCCCGGCTGACGCTGGGGAGACCGCATGGACATTCTGTGCCCGGTGGTCGCTCGCGAAGCTGCTACTACACGTGTAGTGGTAGCTTCTGGTTGTGGTGGTGGTGGTTGTGGTTGTTGTGGTGGTTGTTGTGGTGGTGGTGGTTGTGGTGGTGGTTTTGGTGGTGGTTGTAGTGGTGGTGGTTGTTGTGGTGGTTGTTGTGGTGGTGGTTGTTGTGGTGGTTGTTGTGGTGGTGGTTGTTGTGGTGGTTGTGTTGATTGTTGTGGTGGTTGTGGTTGTAGTGGTGGTTGTAGTGGTGGTGGTTGTAGTGGTTGTTGTAGTCGTGGTTGTAGTAGTGGTTGTAGTGCTTGTGGTGGTTGTAGTAGTGGTTGTGGTGGTTGTAGTGATGGTAGTTGTGGTGGTTGTGGTGGTTGTAGTAGTGGTTGTAGTGGTTGTGGTGGTTGTAATGGTGGTGGTTGTAGTGGTAGTGGTTGTGGTAGTGGTTGTGGTAGTGGTTGTAGTGGTGGTGGTTGTAGTGGTGGTTGTAGTGGTGGTGGTTGTAGTAGTGGTTGTGGTGGTTGTGGTGGTTGTAGTGGTGGTAGTTGTGGTTGTAGTGGTTGTAGTAGTGGTTGTGGTGGTTGTAGTGGTGGTTCTAGTGGTTGTGGTAGTGGTGGTTGTAGTGGTGGTGGTTGTAGTGGTTGTAGTAGTCGTAGTAGTGGTTGTAGTGGTGGTGGTAGTGGTTGTAGTAGTGGTTGTGGTAGTGGTTGTAGTGGTGGTGGTTGTAGTGGTTGTAGTAGTGGTTGTGGTGGTGGTTGTAGTGGTTGTAGTGGTGGTGGTTGTAGTGGTTGTGGTAGTGGTTGTTGTGGTTGTAGTGGTTGTGGTGGTTGTAGTAGTGGTTGTAGTGGTTGTGGTAGTTGTGGTTGTAGTGGTGGTGGTTGTAGTAGTGGTTGTAGTGGTTGTTGTGGTTGTGGTTGTAGTGGTGGTTGTAGTAGTGGTTGTAGTGGTTGTGGTAGTTGTGGTTGTAGTGGTGGTGGTTGTAGTTGTGGTTGTAGTGGTTGTTGTGGTTGTAGTGGTAGTGGTTGTAGTGGTGGTGGTTGTAGTGGTTGTGGTAGTGGTTGTTGTGGTTGTAGTGGTTGTGGTGGTTGTAGTAGTGGTTGTAGTGGTTGTGGTAGTTGTGGTTGTAGTGGTGGTTGTAGTAGTGGTTGTAGTGGTTGTAGTGGTAGTGGTTGTAGTGGTGGTGGTTGTAGTGGTTGTTTGTAGTGGTGGTGGTTGTAGTGGTTGTGGTAGTGGTTGTTGTGGTTGTAGTGGTTGTGGTGGTTGTAGTAGTGGTTGTAGTGGTTGTGGTAGTTGTGGTTGTAGTGGTGGTGGTTGTAGTTGTGGTTGTAGTGGTTGTAGTGGTAGTGGTTGTAGTGGTGGTGGTTGTAGTGGTTGTTTGTAGTGGTAGTGCTTGTGGCTTTGCTCGAGAAGTCGGCCATGGGACGACGGTCAAGGTCGTGGTTGCGTGCGAGGTCACTGGAGGTCACACGACCACACGACCGGTCCCGAGTGCCCCGCGCGAGTTTCATCTCCGACTATTTGAAGGCATCCGAAGCGGTCGATTGTCTTCGATCGCGTTGTCATTTAGCCTTTCATTGATCTCGCCCAAGATAAGCCGCGGAGACTAAACGTCACTAACCAGCCTTGATCAATCAATCTACTGCCGAACGAAGGCCTCCCTCACCATTCTGCGATGGTCAACTCAACGCCCACAAACACAAAGATCGCCCGCGCGTGTAGCCTCGAACACGTCCGGCCAAGTGCTGTTTGCGAGCACCTATTAAGGCCGGGGGTTGTGGGGTGGAGGAGGGGGGTAGCCAACACAACGCCCGACCGCCTTTGTCTCTCCAGCGGCGATGTTTTACTACTACACCGCTCTACACCCGAGTACTCATTTGAGGCCGAGTCGACCTAGGGGAGGTGGTCCAGGACCGGTTCAGATAATCGTCATCCAGGGTTCACAGCGCAAAGAACACAAAGTATAACCTTCTTCACGGAAGAAATGCGACGGGCGATGTTTAAAACTTTAAAAAAAAACCCACCACAATTAAACTAGAGACTGCACCGTGCGTCCGGGAACTCACCTCTTCAGCGCCAACTCACTGCTGCCCCCCCACCAAGCGCCTGTTGCGTTTCTCGCTGTGTGTTGACGCACGGTGATGGTGGTGGGGGGGTAGGGGTTGACGCTACTCACAGGAAGAGCCACACCCACCCCCTTACGTCATAATGTGTGCTAATGAGTAAACTGCCACGCACGTGTCCAAACTTACCCACCGATATTTTGTAATGGACTCGCCCGCGATGATGTATGTTAATGAGTAAAGCACCCACTAACGTGTCCCAACTAACTCACCCCTATTTTGGAATGGAATCGTCCTCCATAATGTGTGTTAATGTGAATGAGTAACCACCCACTCATGTCCCAACTTACCTACCGCTATTTTGGAATGGACTCGTCCGCTATAATGTATGTTAATGTACAACTTACTCACCGCAATGGACTCGTCCGCGATTATGCATGTTACTGAGTAAACAACCACTGACGCGTCCCAACTTACCCGCCGCGATGTTTGCTGGAACGAAATCGCCCCCGTCCCTTACGTAATATCTGCTATGAAAACCCCCCTACGATTGTAACCGGAGTGGACTCGCCCGGCACGTATTGGTTGGTTGCCGAAGAGTGAACCACGCAGGGAAAAAAAACAACCGCAAAACACCCCCGCGACTCTAAGCAGAATGGACTCGCTCGTGGCGGGCTACGCAACGTGTGTTGTGAATGGGCGATTGTTAAGAAACGTCGCCTATGATATAGTTTTTTTTAAAGCCACAGCGTTACTGACGCGGAACGTGTCGAGTTTTTGTTGTTGTTGTCAGCAATTAGAAGAGAGCACAGGACCTGCGGTGGGCGGGGCTTTAGACCGGAAGTGCTCGTGACGCGCCCAGTGTGCAATGCGAGCGGCCATCTTACCTGGGGGAAGTTTCTGCAGGTTGCGTAGCAACTGGGCCTGCAACAAGTTTAAAGATTTAATTTTAAAATAAATTGGTTCACAAAGCCCACCCCAAATGATATGATTTTTTTTGACAATTTGTATCTACGATCAGACGCGAACAATTACTCCAAAATGTTGTATTTTCCCTCCCACAAAAATTGACGACTTTATTCAATTTTGTTATTTAAAGCTTTCGTGACTGCAGGGATTCATATTCTTGGTTCTTTCGGTAAAGTCACCACGTAGAAGGGAAACATTAAAATAAAAATAAAAAATTCTCACGACGTTTCGACTGCAACACAAGCAATCATCATCAGGTGTGAAAACCACAGCAAGAACATTTGAAAAAAGTGGCGTTTTTTAAAATTTAAAGCCGCAACTTTTTCAAATTTTCTTGCTGTGGTTTTCACACCTGATGACGATTGCTTGTGTTGCAGTCGAAACATCGTGATTTTATTTATTTTATTTTATACCTACCACGTGACTTCACCGAAAGAACCAAACAGTATCAACTTCTTATATTTAAAAGACGCACCCTATTGGAAGCCGCTCAATTTAAAGATTCCATTCTTTTTTTCGTATTAAAAAGGACACACATTTATTAATAGTCTACGACGGGAAGCTTCTATTTTTTCCGTTTTTGTTTATTCAGATTTGAACATAGAATGCGTATTTTTTTTTTCGTTCAAACTCACTTGAATCCGAAATATCTCAAAAACAAAAAATATAAACCACCAAATGGTTCTCGCTTTAAATTTATTTGCTGTGTAACGCTCTATCAAACGAAAAAACCCCGCAATGTTATATTTCGAACGGTTTCTGAATGACACCACGCACAAACATGTTTATGGGACACTTAAAATCGAGATTTTGATGCCTTAGAATGAAAAATTTACTGATTTTTCCTGTGGTTTGTGTCCTAAAAGCTACCCCATGTACCAAATATCAACTTGGTACCTTGTCCGGAAGTTCCCTAGAGGGCTCTGAGACACAGATTAAGAGGGTATTTATTTATATAGATGTTAGGATATAGATGCATTCTAAGTTCATACATGAAATATATAAACTTAGAATGCATAAAGAGTTTTTTTTGGAACAACCTTGTTTCCTGCCTTAGGGGCCGTCCATAAATGACGTCACGCGATTTTTGACGATTTTTGACCCCCCCCCCACCTCGTCACACGGCGTCACAAAAAGTCAGACCCCCCCCCCCTCAAATGTGACGTCACAAAGCTCTGCCCACCCCCCCCCCCAAAAAAAATATATAAAACATGCTTCAAATCGCTTTAAACTATTGTCATTGTAGTGCGTAATTAATGTGGCGCTGCACTCTGATGTTGTAGGAGAAAACATGTATTAAACAGTGTATTTAATTAAGTAGAACGTGTTGTCTATATTTATTTAAAGTTGCGCATTTTGATGTGACATTCACATTTCTCACCCCCCCCCCCCCCCTCGTCACACATCGTCACAAATGTCTGACCCCCCCCCTCCTCTCCCCTAGGTGCGTGACGTCATTTATGGACGGCCCCTTAACATCATACATCTTCCTTCAAAAATATTTGGAAGCAGAAGATTAGTGCTGGATGCAGTCACATTTGCCAATGTGATTTGTAAATTGAATCCTGAAAAATGGATTGAGAATTACATTTTAAATGTACAATTCTTATTGAGGGACTGTGTGTTGTCTCGCTGTGGGCTGGGACTGTGCTGTTTTCCTACCTTTCACGGTGGCTAGGAGATGTTAACTACCTCGCCTGGTTTACAGGAGGTCGTGGGTTCGATCCCGACCCTGACGCCTGCTGTTGTATATTTGGAGTTTGCGTGTCTCTCTCTCATCATCATCACGGTGGCTAGGAGATGTTAACTACCTCGCCTGGTATACAGGAGGTCGTGGGTTCGATCCCGACCCTGACGCCTGCTGCTGCTGTATATTTGGAGTTTGCGTGTCTCTCTCTCATCATCATCACGGTGGCTAGGAGATGTTAACTACCTCGCCTGGTGTACAGGAGGTCGTGGGTTCGATCCCGACCCTGACGCCTGCTGCTGCTGTATATTTGGAGTTTGCGTGTCTCTCTCTCATCATCATCACCGTGGCTAGGAGATGTTAACTACCTCGCCTAGTATATAGGAGGTCGTGGGTTCGATCCCGACCCTGATGCCTGCTGCTGTATATTTGGAGTTGGTGGCGTCTCTCTCCCTTTGGTCGTGTGGATTTGTTTTTCTCCAGGTCCTCCGGTTTTTCCCTCCACATTTAGAAACTTGCATTAAGATTATTTTAGTGCTTCTAAATGTCCAAATGATGGGCCACTTTGTTGAGCTATCATTTGTGGCCAGGTCGCTTCTGAAAAATCAGTCAATACATGAGTGGGCTTTGCCTGGTAAAAATGAGGATGGTTTAGTTTTATTTGTATGTGTTTGGGTGATTTGGTTACCTTTCTTATACTTTGCACTACGATCATGTTTTTTTTTTGTATTCTTGTTGTTGTAACGTTCTAACCGGTGCCCCAACTGGACATGTGTGAAAAAGAGCTTTATAGCTCATCGGATTCCTCCAGTATAAATATTCTTGATTTTTATTTTTAAATGTTACTAAAGTGGCATGTGGCCGTACATCTGCGGCATTAAATATCTGCTACCTGCTGCTATCACTTCTACGATTTAAATTGCGTAAACCAACAGGCAAGTTGACGGATGAAGCACAGCATACATCAATATTTATTTTACAATGCCCCTGTCGATGTTTTGAAGTCGTGGCTTTGTTTTATTTATTTTTGTTTAAGCCCTTGTTTTTAAATGGAGGTCGCTTATTTGGGACTTCCTTACTCTGTGGTTCTTTCGATAAAGACTTTACCGAAAGAACCAAAGATTATGGATTCCTGCAGTCACGAAAGCTTCAAATCGAGATTGGGACTTCCTCTTTAGACCCCGCTCCTTTTCATACCTAGACCACGCCCCTCTGCTAGCCACGCCCTCTTCGTTAGACCCCCCGCCCCCTTTGTGGTAAGCCCCTCCTCCCCCTTTGTTGACGTTCTTTAAGGGCAAGTTTTTATTTTAATTTTGTAAAGCCGCTGCCGCTGTGTGCTGCTGCCCGCGAGACTCTGGCAGGGCAGCGCGAGTTGACATGAGCGAGAGACGGGCGCGACGGGGTTTGCCGGCGATGTGTGCGTGCCCAGCGGTATATGTGTGGTCAATGCAGGCATGATTCCTTGCAAAAGGCTTCAGTTTTGTAGTTTTAAACATCTTAACACAGTTGGTTTTATTGCCAGAAAGGGTAAAAGCTATTATTATAATGGGAACAACATGACTTGTTTTTTTATGCGCATACATTTAATTACCGTGTATACGTTGATACACGGATTCTTGAGTGGATTAACATCGCTTCTGCTGTAGGAGAGCTATAGCTGAGTGGGGTGTCCGTTGGCTCCGAACCTCAATTACCCGCGTCCGAATCCGAGCTGTAATAATGTAATTAAACGATAACTAGTTTTACCACTGCAGTGATTAATTGGCTCAATAATTTGCTGTCCGCGTTTTGTTGTTGTTTATTTTAAGGACCGCGAGAGGCGGCGACAGCTTTCACGTATATATATAAAAAACAAAAAAATTACATCCAGCAGTGGATTGACCTTGGCCGGTGATAATTGTGACCTTGACGAGGAATTCGGAGGCTCACTGACGTGCAGTCGTTAAATGAGCAGTGCGACAAAATTCCGGTACAGAGGACACGGGGATTCAACATCAACTTTATTTCTTAAACATTAAATTTTGATTTAAAGCTTTCGTGACTGCAGTAATTCATATTCTTAGCTCTTTGGGTAAAGTCACGTTGAAGGGAAACAATAAAATAATAAAATATATATGAAACAATAAAACATTGTTAAACAGGTACATTTCTATTTAAAGCTTTCGCATGGGGGTTCAACATCAACTTATTTCTTAAACATTGTTAAACAGGTAAATTTCGATTTAAAGTTTTCGTGACTGCAGGGATTCATTAACGTCGTGAGAATTTTATTGTTTTATTTTTATTATTTTATTATTTCCCTTCTAAGTGACTTTACCGAAAGAACCAAGAATATTGTTAAACAGGTGCAACCATATTAGCATGTTTTTTTTAATTCGTAAACACGTACGTTAATAACCTCAAAGTTCGATTGCAGTGACCCACTCACCCACCCACTCACCCACCCACTCACCCACCCACCCACCCACTCACCCACCCACCCACCCACTCACCCACCCACCCACTCACCCACCCACCCACTCACCCACCTACTCACCCACCCACTCACCCACCTACTCACCTACTCACCTGTTCAACTGCTCACAGAGTCACCCACTCCACCACTCACTCAGCCACTCACTCAGGCACTCACTCACCTACTCACCCAACCACTCACCCACTCACTCACCTACTCACCTGTTCATCTACGCATAGACCCACCCACTCCACCACTCACCCACCCACTCACCACTCACTCACCTACTCACCTGTTCATTTACTCACAAACCCACCCACTCCACCACGCACTCATCTACTCACCCAACCACTCACCCACTCACCTGTTCATCTACTCGCAGAGCCACTCACTCCACCACTCACACATCCACTCACCCAACCACTCACCCAGCCACTCACTCAGCCACTCACTCACCCACTCAGCCACTCACTCACCCACTCACCCACTCACCCAACCACTCACCCACTCACTCACCTACTCACCTGTTCATCTACGCACAGAGCCACCCACTCCACCACTCACACATCCACTCACCCAACCACTCACCCAACCACTCACCCAACCACTCACCCAACCACTCACCCAGCCACTCACCCAACCACTCACTCACTCATCCACTCACCCAAGCACTCGCTCAGAACCAGTGCAGTGACGTGAACAGCTATGGCGCTGGCTCAGCGAGCTGAGACTGCGGCCTCGGAGTCCGGACCACCTGGGTTCAATCCGACAAGGAGCGCGACCAACCCAACCCAAAAAAGATAAAGATCCCTCCCCGATAGCTTGAACAGACTGTTGGGGAAAGTGCTGTTCGCGAGGAACTATGAAGGCCGGCACGGCACACGACGAGGTTGGGTGACCAGCACCACGTCCGACCGCCTTTGTCTCTCCAGTGCCGATGTGTTTTTTACACACCTCATCAGGTACTCATTTGAGGCTGAGTCGACCTAGGGGAGGCCAAGGACCGGTGTCAGATAATCGCCACTGTGTGTTGGTGGCCGTGA